TTCCTTGTTCGAGCTCCTCATTGGCCAAAAACCATGCATTGCATTCTCGTGACGCCAACTCAATCGTGTCTATAGGTGAGAAATCACGACCATTAAATAGCCTTTCCTTCCGATCTTTCCATATATACCAAATAATCTAGGGGAAGACCCTGGTTAGCTCCTCCATATTATTACCATTTCTGGTTCTTGAGAGGAGGTAACCTATATTGGTATAGATATTTTCAGAAGGAAAAATTCCTGGGGCTGCAGGAATCGTTGAAAGGGCCCAACATTGCATAGCGGGGGGACATGTGAAAATCATATGATTAATTGTTTCCTCAGCATGGCCACATCTGTGACAGCTAGGATCGTTCCCAATGTGTCTTGTGAAAAGTTTTTCATTGACTGAAATTGCCCCCGATAAGATCTGCTACATAAAGTGAGAATTTTTTTTTGCAGTTTTGACTTTCCAATCTTTTTCCTTCAGTGGATTAAGGGAGGGTAGCTGATTCCTAAAGACATTCTCATCTGGTTTTGACCTTGCAAGCATATAGCCCGACTTGACCGAATATTTCCCAGAAGTTGTTAGGTTCCAGCAATATGCATCCTGCATGGGATACCTACTGTGATTTAAACTTCGAATCAATGGTATGTCACTGGGGTGGAGCAGGTTCCTGAGTTTGGTGGTGTCCCACTCCTTTTTCACAGGGTAAATTAGCTCAGACACTTTGAGGTTTGGATCATAAGCCTGGGTTATCGTAGGAGGCCTGGCGGTCTCATCCGGTAACCACGGGTCTTGCCAAACTAGTATATCTTCTCCTGTTCCAATTGTACGTCTAAATCCTTTTGTGACTAGCTCTTTTCAGCCATCATGCTTCTCCAACCATATGATGGTCTCGAGGTTTTTGGTGCTTTAAAGGGATGTGTATATCGAAAGTATCTTCCTTTAAGGACTCTTGTAAGTAAAGAGTTTGGGGTTTGTTCCAGTCGCCAAAGTTGTTTAGCTAGTAAGGCTATATTAAACTCTTCGAGTGATCGGAACCAAATCCCTCTTTCCTTCTTAGGGATGCAAAGTTTGTCCCATGCTATCCAATGCATACTTGTTGAGTTAGGACCAGCGCCCCACCAAAAGTTAGATGTAGCACTAGATAGCTTTTTGCATAGTCCTTTAGGGAGCAGATAACACGACATTGGGAATGTCAGAATGGCTGATGCTACAGATTTGATCATAACTTCTTTGCCGGCTCTGGAGAGATATTTTCCGTCCATCCATTCACTTTCTGGTGAAAATTGTCTTGTACATAGGTGAAAACCTGGGT